TGAAAATAGAGCTATTTTCAGTATCTGGATTATGCTGTTCATCCTTGGACATGACACAAGGTATATTGTTAACTTTATAAATCGTGCAGTAGTGTGTATGTTGAGAATGAGAAGTAATTTTAAGGTTTGGATTTGATTGTGGAGAGAAATTGGGAAAAAGAATTTTAGGAGTGATTTGAGGAGCAGGTGATTGAGGAAGTTCTTCAGAAATTCTATAGAATCTGTGTTTTGAAATAGTTGGAGATTTCCATAGCTAGGGCAGATTGTTGTTAGGGTGGAGGAGTAATCTTAAAAATTTTAGAAGTAAAGTTTGTATAATATTTTTCACAAATACAGGTTTTAAGAGCAGGTTGTGTAGGTAAAAGAAAGAAATGGTAGTTCTTGTTATTTTTAACTTTGCAGTTTTTGAGATTGATGTTGGCAGGGATAATATGAAGAGATTGTGGTTTGTCTTCTGTTATTCCGAGACCAAAATGACCTTGGTATTTAAAATACTAGTGGTTAAGGTCAAAGGAGTCAGGTTGAGTATCAATAAGAGTAGGCATATTGTAATATGTTTGTACAATAGGTTAAAAAGAAAAAACTTATTTTAAATTTAGCAAGTTATAAAGAAAATTTATTTAAGAAAGAGGTTTTGTAATAATAAAATGTGTTTATTAATTAAGAAATTATAATTCAGCTTAAGAAGGGCTTTCAGTAAAATAAAATTTTGTTTCATGTAACGTTGAGCAAAAAAGTCAAATTTGGGTAGTACAAAGTTATGTGTTACACAAGTCACGTGTTAAGCTGGGTACTGTGTTGCACAAATTGGGCAAATTTGTAAAACAAAAGTACTGTAGTTTGTGCAAATTAATAAGTTACAAAAATGGTAAATATTTGCTTTGTGCAATTTGGATTAATAATTTGTATATAATTAATTTGTAATTTGATTGTTTGAAAAGAACCACTAATTTTAGAGTATTAAAAAATGTGGGTAACACGATTTTGTGCTAGGGTAGATTGTACAAAAAACGCCTATAGGGTTTTTTGCAAAAAAGAAAAAAGAAAAGAGGGGAGTTGTGGAAGTAATTTAATTGTATCTTTGTCAATTTTGATGCTATCCCTTAAGCTGTAGAGTTTGTATAACAATTTTAGCTTAAAAATAGCATAAATTTAGTTATGATTTATTTT